ATTAGAGACCTATTCGATACTTAACCTAGATGTAATCATGCACAGAAATAATAATATATTCAATTGCGAGAATATCTCCTGGCCATTGGGTGTATATGGGCTCTTGTTGCTATAATTATTGACAGGGCTTCCACATGGCAGCTCATATCTGTACTATAAGAGAAAATGTCTGGTTTTATGCCTGTCCAAAGTTGACGGTCAGACGATTGAGGCCAGCATCATCCAAATTGGCAAAGGGACTGGTCTGGGGTACGGGATGAACATAGGATAGTCGGGGTCGACAGAATTCAAAAGAGAACAGTATGCCAGGGTCACATTCAGACCCCCACGACGATTGATGACACTCCCCGCACTCAGCAAAATATTTTCAAAACAAACATAAAAAAACAGACAGACAGGCCTACCCCCCCCCCCCCACGCCCCACCAAGTTGCCACCAATTATTGACCTGCCATAATGTCACAACTGTGCCATGTTTGATGTACTGAACCACCACTTATCATAATGATAACCAATAACGATAACCAGAATCTACATTTATAATAAACCTAGCATTACCAGCCAACATTTTGAGAGCATTACAGCATATTTTCCTCTCGCTCGTTCACAGCATTATTAATAAGTCAAATTAATAATGGCGATTTAGCCTTCCGTGTTGGAAAAGTAATATATATAGTGATCGCTAGTACGATTGTTTGGGGGGGGGGATACGTTATCTAATGAAGGTCGTGATATGTTTTGTGGTTTGCGATCGAGTCGTTTAAAGCGGATTAATTAGCGTACAGTGTAGGTGTGGGAAGGGGCTCGTGGTGTGGGAGAGGGAAGGAATGGGGAAAGAAAGGGGAAGGGAAGGGAAGGGAAGGTTAGGTTAAGACCGTTCACAAAACTCCCATCATAAAGATGCGTAGACGTACACAAACACACACACACACACACACACACACACACACACACACACACACACACACACACACACACACACACACACACACTCAGGTGGAAACTGAGTGCCCAAATGAGCCACAGAGATATTAGAAAGAACTTTTTTAGTGTCAGAGTGGTTGACAAATGGAATGCATTAGGAAGTGATGTGGTGGAGGCTGACTCCATACACAGTTTCAAGTGTAGATATGATAGAGCCCAATAGGCTCAGGAACCTGTACATCTGTTGATTGACAGTTGAGAGGCGGGACCAAAGAGCCAGAGCTCAACCCCCGCAAGCACAACTAGGTGAGTACAACAACTAGGTGAGTACACACACACACACACGTGGTAAATCGTGCCTCACAGGTTTAATAGAATTCTATGACCAGGCAACAAAAATTAGGCAGGAAAGAGAAGGGTGGGCTGACTGCATTTTCCTGGACTGCCAGAAAGCCTTTGACACAGTATCCCATAAAAGGCTGTCAAAAAAGTTGGAGCAACAGGCAGGAGTAAAAGGGAAGGTGCTCTAGTGGATAAAGGAGTACTTAAGCAACAGGAAACAGCGAGTAACGGTGAGGGGGGAGACATCAGAGTGGCGAGATGTCACCAGCGGAGTCCCACAGGGCCCAGTACTTGGACCCATCCTGTTTCTAATATATGTAAACGATCTTCCGGAGAGCATAGACTCATTCCTCTTAATGTTTGCTGATGATGCAAAAATTATGAGAAGAATCAAGACGGATGAAGATACAGAGACTACAGGATGACCTGGATAAACTGGAGGAATGGTCTAGAAAATGGCTACTAAAGTTCAACTCAGGAAAGTGTAAGGTGATGAAATTAGGCGAAGGGAGCAGGAGGCTGAACACAAGGTATCATCTGGGAGGTGAAATCCTGCAAGAGTCAAATAGAGAGAGAGATCTGGGGGTTGATATCACACCGAACCTGTCCCCAGAGGCCCGCATCAAAAGAATATCAGCGGCGGCATATGCTAGACTGGCCAACATAAGAACTGCCTTTAGAAACGTGTGTAAGGAATCTTTCAGAACCCTGTATACCACTTATGTAAGACCAATCCTGGAGTACGCAGCTCCAGCCTGGAGTCCATACCTAGTTAAACACAAGACAAAGCTAGAGAAGATTCAGCGGTATGCCACCAGACTCGTCCCGGAACTGAGAGGAATGAGCTACGAGGAAAGGCTGAAGGAGCTGAACCTCACATCCCTGGAAAACAGAAGAGTTAGGGGAGACATGATAACCACCTACAAAATTCTCAGGGGAATTGACAGGGTGGACAAAGACAAACTCTTCAGCACGGGTGGGACACGAACAAGGGGACACAGGTGGAAACTTAGTACCCAGATGAGTCACAGAGACATTAGAAAGAATTTTTTCAGTGTCAAAGTAGTTAATAAATGGAATGCATTAAGTAGTGTTGTGGTGGAGGCTGACTCCATACACAGTTTCAAATGTAGATATGATAGAGCCCAGTAGGCTCAGGAACCTGTACACCAGTTGATTGACAGTTGAGAGGTGGGACCAAAGAGCCAAAGCTCAACCCCCGCAAGCACAATTAGGTGAGTACACACACACACACACACACACACACACACTCTTGGTTACGAGTAGAGACATTAACACACTAACAAACAACCAAACACACCCACAAACACTCGGGAAACACACACAAGCACGCCAACAGTCACTTAAGTGCAAACTTCCCTGAAAACAATGGCGAACTCTTTAAGTGCCCTCGTTCACCTCTTGCAGACCCCTTATCCTTACTCCTGCTGCTGCTGGCACTGCTGCTCCTGCTGCTTCTGCTGCTTCTGCTGCTGCTGCTTCTGCTCTCGCTCTGCAGCCTCTGCGACTATTATTAAACCTGCTGTTTTTGCAGCCGGTTTTGATGTTGCTATTGATTTAACTGCTGCGTTTACAGCAGCTGCTGCTGCTCTACTGCTGCCACTACTCCTCAGCTGTTTCTGGTGCTCCACCTGTGAGAACAGTGTTGGGGAGGACGGCGACGGGTGTGTGTGGTGGGGGGGACACAATATTGATGCAGTACGATGGGATCAAACCCTCATTCGTGAACTTTACAACACAGGCACAAGCGACTGAACCATAATGTGTTCGTCTGTGGCGCTTGTGTCTCGTCCAATCTAGCGTCGCAGCTTCGATCCCATTATACTGCATCAATATCTTCTAATAGATGCACTAAGTGAGATTTCATTCAACGCCACGCTGTCTTCCTCTTCCACTCGGAAGAGGAAGGAGTTGTCCCTCTGAAAGGCAGTGCTGGCCGGCCTCCGCTGAGACGATCAGGAGGACTACGTCTGGACGGCCCAGGTGGGGTAAGGTGATGTGCTCGACGCGGTCTATGGCATTGATGCTGATGTCTGGAGATGTGTGGGGATGTGTGGGGGATGTCTTAAGGTGGTCCAGGAGGCTTTCCAGAGAGCGCCTTGACAAGACGCCCAGAGTAAGGTCCCTGGAGAGGTGTACACACAGTGGCTCTTGATACATTTACCACCTCCAGTTGGCGGTCAGTGGAGGGACATCTTGCTGTGTCCCGCTGTGTCCCGCTGTGTCTCTCGCTGTGCCCCTCGCTGTGCCCCCGCTGTGTCCCGCTGTGTCTCGCTGTGTCTCTCGCTGTGCCCCCGCTGTGCCCCCGCTGTGTCCCGCTGTGTCTCGCTGTGTCTCTCGCTGTGTCTCGCTGTGTCTCGCTGTGTCCCGCTGTGTCCCGCTGTGTCCCGCTGTGTCTCGCTGTGTCTCGCTGTGTCTCGCTGTGTCTCGCTGTGTCTCGCTGTGTCTCGCTGTGTCTCTGTGCCCCCGCTGTGCCCCGCTGTGCCCACCACAGATGGAAAGCTGCTGTACACTAACCAGCCAGCCCCATCACCTGCCACTACATACAAAATCCAACCTCCTAAGTTAACTAGAAACGTGAGAACCCAAGTAACGCACCTAATCTATGGAGTCCTGTGCACAGAAACATGTAGACATTTGTGAGCTTCTGACAGTAGTAGTAGGCACCCATCAGTCTCAGGAGACTATGGAGTTGCGCTCTGGTTGTCGGTCTGGAGTGGCCTCTCCAGGACGCAAAGCCAGGGTGGGTTGATACGGGGGAGAAGCTGTTACCCATGCAGCAGTAGGATGCGACAGTAGGGGGTTATTATGACAGTGTTACCATAGCGTGGAGCACGGGACCTGGAGGGCGGGTTGAGGCAGCATATACAGGTGTTCCCTGGTGGTGGGGCCGAGACCAGGTCAGAGATGCACTACACACTGTGTAGCGGGGGTTTGGGCCCTCAACCACAGCGGAAGACTGGAGTGCTTTTAAAAGTGTATACACAAGGAGAGGGAGAAGTGTGTGTGTGTGTGTGTGTGGCGGGATAAGACACACTTCACGCCTCCAGCTCTTTCTCAAAGTAAGTGTCTGTTAAAAAAAAAAAATTGTCTGCGTGTATTTTCTACAGATTCCGTTTTTAACAATCTTCTGAAAGATGTTGAACAACAGATTATATTGAAGTTTTGGTTTTTCCTATACGAAAATGTTTGACATTTCCATATTTGTATTATTTCCATGTATTCCCAAGAGCCACATAAATGCTATTTTCTGCTTTCTCCAATCTTCTTGGGCTTCTTTCTCCCATCTCCTCTCCTTCCATCCTTCCATTTCTTCTTGGTTCTCTTTCCACTTTTGGTATCTTGTAGTGAGGGTTGCCCCGCCCCGCCCCCCTCCACAGTGGTCCAGTTGGCCCGGTCCAAGTTAAGGGTCCAGGACCTTGGGTGGGGCTAGCGGCCACAAAGCAGACCCACACATAAAGGAAGCAGTCTCCAGAGCTGTTAGCTTAGGTAGGAGGAGTCTGGGAGAATGTGCACAAGAAAGAGGATAGGAGGTCGAGGAGAAGATGTAAAGGAGGCTGGAAAGAGGAGAATAGGGGAACGGAAGGTGGAGGAGGAGACGAGTGAGGTGACTCAGGTTTGGAGTACGAGAACGGCTGTCAGTGTATAGAAGTGTGCCGCCAGGCGGAGGCACCAGGGACACCCCAGGCACCAGGGACGCCTCAGACCCCAAGGATGCAGCAGGGACGCCCCGGGACCAGGGACGCCCCAGACCCCAGGGACGCCCCAGGCACCAGGGACGCCCCAGACCCCAGGGATGCAGCAGGGACGCCCCGGGACCAGGGACGCCCCAGACCCCAGGGATGCAGCAGGGACGCCCCAGACCCCAGGGATGCAGCAGGGACGCCCCAGGCACCAGGGACGCCTCAGACCCCAGGGATGCAGCAGGGACGCCCCAGACCCCAAGGCTGCAGCAGGGACGCCCCAGGCACCAGGGACGCCCAAGACCCCAAGGATGCACCAGGGACGCCCCGGGACCAGGGACGCCCCAGACCCCAGGGATGCAGCAGGGACGCCCCAGACCCCAGGGATGCAGCAGGGACGCCCCAGGCACCAGGGACGCCCCAGACCCCAGGGATGCAGCAGGGACGCCCCAGACCCCAGGGATGCAGCAGGGACGCCCCAGACCCCAGGGATGCAGCAGGGACGCCCCAGGCACCAGGGACGCCCAAGACCCCAAGGATGCACCAGGGACGCCCCGGGACCAGGGACGCCCCAGACCCCAGGGATGCAGCAGGGACGCCCCAGACCCCAGGGATGCAGCAGGGACGCCCCAGGCACCAGGGACGCCCCAGACCCCAAGGATGCACCAGGGACGCCCCGGGACCAGGGACGCCCCAGACCCCAGGGATGCAGCAGGGACGCCCCGGGACCAGGGACGCCCCAGACCCCAAGGATGCAGCAGGGACGCCCCAGACCCCAGGGATGCAGCAGGGACGCCCCAGACCCCAGGGATGCAGCAGGGACGCCCCAGGCACCAGGGACGGCCCAGACCCCAAGGATGCAGCAGGGACGCCCCAGGCACCAGGGACGGCCCAGACCCCAAGGATGCAGCAGGGACGCCCCAGGCACCAGGGACGCCCCAGGCACCAGGGATGCAGCAGGGACGCCCCAGGCACCAGGGACGCCCCAGGCACCAGGGACGCCCCAGACCCCAGGGATGCAGCAGGGACGCCCCAGGCACCAGGGACGGCCCAGACCCCAAGGATGCAGCAGGGACGCCCCAGGCACCAGGGACGGCCCAGACCCCAAGGATGCAGCAGGGACGCCCCGGGACCAGGGACGCCCCAGACCCCAGGGATGCAGCAGGGACGCCCCGGGACCAGGGACGCCCCAGACCCCAGGGATGCAGCAGGGACGCCCCGGGACCAGGGACGCCCCAGGCACTAGGGACGCCCCAGGCACCAGGGACGCCCCAGACGCCAGGGATGCAGCAGGGAGGCCCCAGGCACCAGGGACGCCCCAGGCACCAGGGACGCCCTAGGCCCCCGGGACGCCCCAGGGACGCCCCAGGCTCCACAGGGATGCCCCAGGCACCAGGAATGCCCCAGGGACGCCCCAGGCCCCAGGGACGCCCCAGGCCCCAGGGACGCCCCAGGCCCCAGGGACGCTCCAGGCCCCAGGGACGCCCCCAGGGACGCTCCAGGCCCCAGGGACGCCCCAGGGAGCAGGGACTCGCCTTGATGTGTTCACCTAAACGTGAATTATTATGGCTGATGGTTAGTTCCCAAGCTCCGTGGGTCCAGCCGTTGATTAATACTATGGCTGACTTTCATATTTTTAATGTCTCAGGCTAAGAACATCTTTCACAGCCATCCACCAGGGGCCCTCTAGTGCAACCCTTTTGCACTATGAACCTGTCCCCTCTGTCAGGCGTCTCAATTACCCTTTGTATAGTGTCGTGACTCCTGAGTTTCGCCATTCCTTCTCAGTTGTCAGATTCAGTTTCTTCAGCTTTTTGCTGGAGCTTAGTCACCTCAGCTCTGTAGGCTGGCTCTCCCTTCACCTCTGGAACGAGGCTGGCTCTCCCTTCACCTCTGGAACGAGGCTGGCTCTCCCTTCACCTCTGGAACGAGGCTGGCTCTCCCTTCACCTCTGGAACGAGGCTGGCTCTCCCTTCACCTCTGGAACGAGGCTGGCTCTCCCTTCACCTCTGGAACGAGGCTGGCTCTCCCTTCACCTCTGGAACGAGGCTGGCTCTCCCTTCACCTCTGGAACGAGGCTGGCTCTCCCTTCACCTCTGGAACGAGGCTGGCTCTCCCTTCACCTCTGGAACGAGGCTGGCTCTCCCTTCACCTCTGGAACGAGGCTGGCGCTCCCTTCACCTCTGGAACGAGGCTGGCTCTCCCTTCACCTCTGGAACGAGGCTGGCTCTCCCTTCACCTCTGGAACGAGGCTGGCTCTCCCTTCACCTCTGGAACGAACATATCTCAACCCCTTCAACACTGGAACGAGCCTTGGTCCCTCCCTCGGCCCTGGAACGACCCTTTACCCCCTCCAGCTCCGGAACGAGCCTGTCACATGTCTCTGAAATTTTTCTAGTTTTATTTTGGGATTTTTTCAGATGTGGAATTTTGTGCGGTGGGAAGGTGGTGAATGGTGAGGGGGGGGGGGGGGGGGTGATGTACTCGTCTGTGTTGTACGGGGATTGAACTACAGCTCTGGGATGTCGCCTCTCAACCACCTGGTGCAGAGGATTATACGGGAGACATCGTTTGTGTGTAATTACCTAAGCGTAGTTACAGGATGAGAGCTACGCTCGTAGTGTCCCGTCTTCCCAGTGCTCTTTGTCGTATGGCAAAGTTTTGAAACTACTGGCCTCCACCACCTTCTGACAGAGTGCCTTAGTAACACCAGCAGACATGGCTATATTATATAAATCTGTGATCCTTCTGGGAGATCGTTTATATAGACGTTGCGTGTGTGTGCGTGTGTGCGTGCAGGCGCTGGCAGATGTGCCTGTTTGTGCGTGTTTATGGTGATGGCGGCCGCCTGTACACTGGCAACGGTACAACGGCAGCTCTGCTACTGTTGTTAACGGGAGTCATGTAATGGTTCCTGCCTGTGAAGGGTCGCGTGACATGTACGGTGAGGGAGGGAGGGAGGGAGGGAGAGAGGGAGAGAGGGAGGGAGAGAGGGAGAGAGGGAGAGAGGGAGAGAGGGAGGGAGGGAGAGAGGGAGAGGGGAGGGAGAGAGGGAGAGAGGGAGGGAGAGAGGGAGAAAGCGCCACGTATCCTGTTTTTGGTTTGCTGTTGTGGCCAGTTCAAATAGTTATTTTGTTTCTGCAGTAACTCCATTGTTGGACCAGGTGTGCCACGGGGTGGCCATCTTGTGTGGCCCCACGAGGTGGCCATCTTGTGTGGCCCCACGGGGTGGCCATCTTGTGTGGCCCCACGGGGTGGCCATCTTGTGTGGCCCCACGGGGTGGCCATCTTGTGTGGCCCCACGGGGTGGCCATCTTGTGTGGCCCCACGGGGTGGCCATCTTGTGTGGCTCCCACGGGGTGGCCATCTTGTGTGGCCCCACGGGGTGGCCATCTTGTGTGGCCCCACGGGGTGGCCATCTTGTGTGGCCCCACGGGGTGGCCATCTTGTGTGGCCCCACGGGGTGGCCATCTCTGTGTGGGGGTGGCCATCTTGTGTGGCCCCCACGGGGTGGCCATCTTGTGTGGCCCCACGGGGTGGCCATCTTGTGTGACCCCACGGGGTGGCCATCTTGTGTGGCCCCCACGGGGTGGCCATCTTGTGTGGCCCCACGGGGTGGCCATCTTGTGTGGCCCCACGGGGTGGCCATCTTGTGTGGCCCCACGGGGTGGCCATCTTGTGTGGCCCCACGGGGTGGCCATCTTGTGTGGCCCCACGGGGTGGCCATCTTGTGTGACCCCACGGGGTGGCCATCTTGTGTGGCCCCACGGGGTGGCCATCTTGTGTGGCCCCACGGGGTGGCCATCTTGTGTGACCCCACGGGGTGGCCATCTTGTGTGGCCCCCACGGGGTGGCCATCTTGTGTGGCCCCCACGGGGTGGCCATCTTGTGTGGCCCCACGGGGTGGCCATCTTGTGTGGCCCCACGGGGTGGCCATCTTGTGTGGCCCCACGGGGTGGCCATCTTGTGTGGCCCCACGGGGTGGCCATCTTGTGTGGCCCCACGGGGTGGCCATCTTGTGTGGCCCCACGGGGTGGCCACGGGGTGGCCATCTTGTGTGGGGTGGCCATCTTGTGTGGCCCCACGGGGTGGCCATCTTGTGTGGCCCCACGGGGTGGCCATCTTGTGTGGCCCCACGGGGTGGCCATCTTGTGTGGCCCCACGGGGTGGCCATCTTGTGTGGCCCCACGGGGTGGCCATCTTGTGTGGCCCCACGGGGTGGCCATCTTGTGTGGCCCCCACGGGGTGGCCATCTTGTGTGGCCCCACGGGGTGGCCATCTTGTGTGGCCCCCACGGGGTGGCCATCTTGTGTGGCCCCACGGGGTGGCCATCTTGTGTGGCCCCACGGGGTGGCCATCTTGTGTGGCCCCACGGGGTGGCCATCTTGTGTGGCCCCACGGGGTGGCCATCTTGTGTGGCCCCACGGGGTGGCCATCTTGTGTGGCCCCACGGGGTGGCCATCTTGTGTGGCCCCACGGGGTGGCCATCTTGTGTGGCCCCACGGGGTGGCCATCTTGTGTGGCCCCACGGGGTGGCCATCTTGTGTGGCCCCACGGGGTGGCCATCTTGTGTGGCCCCACGGGGTGGCCATCTTGTGTGGCCCCACGGGGTGGCCATCTTGTGTGGCCCCACGGGGTGGCCATCTTGTGTGGCCCCACGGGGTGGCCATCTTGTGTGGCCCCACGGGGTGGCCATCTTGTGTGGCCCCACGGGGTGGCCATCTTGTGTGGCCCCACGGGGTGGCCATCTTGTGTGGCCCCACGGGGTGGCCATCTTGTGTGGCCCCACGGGGTGGCCATCTTGTGTGGCCCCACGGGGTGGCCATCTTGTGTGGCCCCACGGGGTGGCCATCTTGTGTGGCCCCACGGGGTGGCCATCTTGTGTGGCCCCACGGGGTGGCCATCTTGTGTGGCCCCACGGGGTGGCCATCTTGTGTGGCCCCACGGGGTGGCCATCTTGTGTGGCCCCACGGGGTGGCCATCTTGTGTGGCCCCACGGGGTGGCCATCTTGTGTGGCCCCACGGGGTGGCCATCTTGTGTGGCCCCACGGGGTGGCCATCTTGTGTGGCCCCACGGGGTGGCCATCTTGTGTGGCCCCACGGGGTGGCCATCTTGTGTGGCCCCACGGGGTGGCCATCTTGTGTGACCCCACGGGGTGGCCATCTTGTGTGGCCCCACGGGGTGGCCATCTTGTGTGGCCCACGGGGGTGGCCATCTTGTGTGGCCCTCACGGGGTGGCCATCTTGTGTGGCCCTCACGGGGTGGCCATCTTGTGTGGCCATCTTGTGTGGCCCACAGGGTGGCCATCATGTGTGGCCCCCACGGCATGGACATCATGTGTGGCCCACGGGGTGGCCATCTTGTGTGGCCCACGGGGTGGCCATCATGTGTGGCCCCCACGGGGGTGGCCATCGTGTGTGGCCCACGGGGGGTGGCCATCGTGTGTGGCCCACGGGATGGCCATCGTGTGTGGCCCACGGGGTGGCCTATATGTGTGGCCCACGGGGGTGGCCATCGTGTGTGGCCCACGGGTGTGGCCATCGTGTGTGGCCCACGGGGGTGGCCATCGTGTGTGACCCACGGGTGTGGCCATCGTGTGTGGCCCACGGGGTGGCCATCGTGTGTGGCCCACGTTGTGGCCATCGTGTGTGGCCCACGGGGGTGGCCATCGTGTGTGGCCCACGGGGGTTGCCATCGTGTGTGGCCCACGGGGTGGCCATCATGTGTGGCCAGGTCTCTCTGGACGTGATGTGATTGTTTATACTCAGGTTAAATACCTCCAGGTTCGGTCAGCACTGGGTGGGTGACCGGGAGTCCAGCTTCCCCCTCACAACCCATCCTCTCGAATTTTAACGTATAAATCCCCCCTACGGCCCTAAATTGATGCACTAAAAACTGATGCAACGGCTCGCAAAATTGGCGCGGTGTCCCGTTTTCTATTAGTGTATCCTCGGGAGGGTTAGGTTTTGGCAAGTTAGTACATTCGTTTAGTGACGTTGTGTACGCTCGTGAGGACGGAGGCACCATATTATATATACCTAATAGACTTGCTGACTCCGACATTTACAAGGAATATATTCAGTGATGTATATATTATATTTCTCACTGTATATACACTGATAATATATTTTAGCCCAAATATACGTCCAGGAATTAAAGGATGTTTATTAGTGGACGGTGAGGTAGTGTGGCCAGGCTGGCTGTGTGGCCAGGCTGGCTGTGTGGCCAGGCTGGCTGTGTGGCCA